GCACAGAGTGCCTAACCAAAGCAATTGGATAAGAATTTTGAGGTCCTTAATGAGTCTATAAAGGACAATGTCGCATCATAGGATTAGGATCCCCATAAAAAAAGCAAGATTTTTGCATAGATAATTGTTGTTGCAAACCAAACGAACTACCCTGTCCACCTCGGTCAGAACCATAGGATCCTGAGGCGTACTGTCCATTGTCAGTAGCTTACATTGAAGCATGAAACATCCCACGCCGGTGGAAAGAACCAAAATCTCTATGTGAAATTATGCCTCTAGATGAGGCACCAGAAAAACTAACCACAAGAATGAGATCTCTTGGACTCCCCAATCTCCTCTAAACCCATCAACTCTGTCTCATTGGATGTGCTCACACTGGTTTAGAACGAAGGCCCCTCTCTAGTCTCCCTAAACACATAAGATTTAACGCAGAAAGTTAACCCTCTCACTAATAGGTGAACTCTCTCTACCTCATCTGACATAACATTCATAGCACGCCTAGAAAGCTCACATAAATGGGCCTCATATTCGGTAATAGATAAATTTCCCATAACCAATCTCTCCAAACTTAGACGACTCTCCTCTCTTATGCTCCATACAATAAAGTGGCCCCAGAAAGCACTATAAAACACATCATATTATACCGAAGGATATCCAACTGGTCTAGACCTCACAAAGTCCTCCACCACTATCTGGTGCGACCACAAAACTGAAGAGTGACAAATCAAACACCACAAGCATCAATCATATCCACAACCTCAAGAATCTCATCGCACAAAGTCAAGAAATCATGAGCATCCTTGCTCTTACCACCCTCAATAGGTGGTTTTATCTTTCAAAACCTCTCGTAACACGCAAAAGATGTCAAGATAACCTCAGAAGCAATAATAATAATAATAATAATAATAATAATAATAATAATAATAATAATAATAATAATAATAATAATGATGATAATAATAATAATAATAATAATAATGATAATAATAATAATATTAATAATGATAATAATAATGATAATAATAATAATAATGATAATAATAATAATGATAATAATAATAATAATAATAATAATAATAATCATAATAATAATAATAATAATAATAATAACAATAATAATAATAATAATAATAATAATAACAACAACAATAATAATAATAACAATAATAATAATAATAATAATAATAATAATTATAATAATAATAATAATAATAACAATAATAATAATAATAATAATAATAATTATAATAATAATAATAATTATAATAATAATAATAATAATAATAATATTATTATTATTATTATTATTAATAATAATAATAATAATAATAAATATTTTTAGTTGTAAAATAGGAAGAATAATATCATTGTTGTATTGATTTTTTGTTATGAGAAGTATTAACAAATCAATATTTTTAGTAAGGACACATTATTTTATCATAATCTCTATTATTTCATATCATTTTTTTTAAAAAAAAAAAAGAGAAACGAAATAGCGTGACACCTGAACTTGTCCGAATTTTCAAAATGACACATTAATCATGTGGGTGTCCTATTACCTTACTAAACAATCTTAAACTAATATTATTACATCGCTTTTTGTCCTTCTTACATAGAGAGTGTGTGCATCTCTCAAAAGAGAGTGAGAAACCTAAAATAACTAATATAATTTTATTTCACAAGTATTTTATTATAAATTATATTTTCTTATGATTTTAACTTATTTTTCCTTATTATTTTTTCTCTTTCTTTCTTCTTTCTTCTTCAAAAATTAATTGTCATCTCCAATGAAGCTTCTCACTTTCAATGTCACTAGCTTTATCAAAACTTCAACATTCTTTTTTAACTACTATTAGTTTTACTCTCTTTAATTTTAAAATTTTATCTAAATATTTTCTTACATTTCAAACAATTTGATAAACTTACAAGATTTCAAGATGATTAGGATGTATCATATAGTTATTTTATCCGATTTCAATCAAGTTCTTTCCATTTCTGGGAAATTCATTGATTCTAATTATCATTTCTAATTTTGAAGTTATATGAAAAGGAATAATGGATGATACCTTCAAAATTTAAATTTACCTTCAACTTGACATGGGGAGTGGGATGAGGATGGAAGGTGAAGAAAGAGAAAGAAAATGAAGGGATAGATCAGCTTGAAAGTGGAGGTTGGAAGATTAAATCAAAATTAAAATATGTCAAAGATTAAGAGAATAAGTCAAAAACTAAGAGAGAGACAAAGACAAAACTTGAAAAGATTTTTTAAAAAATATACTTTTAATTAACTTAAAACGTGTCATGTAATGATTGGTGTGTGAACACACTTGTTTCCGAAAATCTGGGGTTGATCGAAGAATGATATAACAATATCATTTCATAATTGTTTGGTGGGGTAATAGGATGGTTGCTAAGTTAAGGTGTATTTTAAAAAATTCAGGGACAACTTCAGTGGTGAGTTTATGTCTTTTCTCTTTAATAATATTTCAAAAGTCCCTCTCGAATACATCACTCTCCTCTCGTTGTTACAACTCTGTCCCCCTCCAGATACATCACTCCCCTCTCTGATACATCCTTGACCTATGTATCCGGGTGTCTGCTATTGTATTCGAAAGTCTAGTTATGAGTTCGGATGTCATATTTACTCTCCAATACATCTATCCCCTCACGGATGAATCTCTTGTATGTGTATCTTGATGTCTAGTTATGTATCCGGAAGTCTAGTAATGTATTCAAAATCCATAAATTTTAAGAGATTTTTGTAATTTTATAAAAGAATAGAAAAATAATATAATTACCTCTCAAGACGGTGAGATTTATGAAAATTATACATTTTTTATCCTATATAATTGTAGTGTTTAGAAGTGTTTGCATCGATATGTTTTATCCAAATGGCGGAATGTTGTCGAACTTCACAAAGAATATAAAGGTGCAATCTTCTTTATTAATGCCATACTTCTCAATTCCTAGAAAAGCAACCTATGGTATTCTCGATTAGCAAATAGTTCTTTACTTAGTATACATGAATTTGATTTCGTGAGATACATGTATATGTCAAATTTTAAAATTGAAATACGTATTTTATTTGTTTAAATCAATTGGTTGTAACTAATTTCCTTATTATAAGGCGGAAATCAAGAAGTGTATCTATGTCTAATTAATTTCATTTTATTATTATTTGAAATAATAAAATCATTAATTTTATTTATAAAAGACATATATCTTAGTCATGCAATTTGATTGATTTGAATTTATTACTCTTAAAATAATAAAATGCATTAATTTGATGTATCTATTTTCAATATATGATGTATCAAATAAATAAAACACTTAGATTATGAGTATCATACAAATAGATTCATATGTATCATAGAAGTATCTAATGTTAATTTTGTGTATTTGTTATGTGTTTAGTATTAATTTCATGTATCTATTTATATGATGTAAAATTAATTCTATGTATCTATTTATATGAAAAAAACTTAATTTCATGTATCTAAATATATGAGTAGTTTTAGTTTTATGTATCTTTTATTATTAATTCGATGTATCAAATATCAATTTCATATATTATATTCAAAAGCACGTATCTCAAATACATAATAAACACACATAATTATGTATATCTAAATATGAAATATAATTTAAACACATGAATTTAGGAAAAAAATCACGACTATGGAGTATTTGTCTTATCATTAATCCAAAAAAATTTTATAAGAAATCAAAATTCTCTATATTTGTGAATTAGATACATGAAAATGGTGTAGACAAAGATACATCAACCTAAAGAAATGACTACTTTACCCCTAAATATAATGTTGTTTATGTAGAGTTTGGATATGAAATTTATGAAATTTTTACATCCAAATATGCATTGAATTGGTTGAGAAGAAGTAATGGAAGATGAAGGATAATAACGTGTAGGTCACTACAACAAAAATGATCATTAGCGGCAATTGTCGCTCTTTGTATATGTTCCTAATGTGTTCAGCAACATTGATTCTAACGGCACTTAACTAATGACGGTAAAGACTTTAGCACTCTTTATTAATATCAATATTTAATGCCGCTAAAAGTGTTTTTGTTGTAGTGGGTGTGGGTAGAGATACAAAGGAGGTGTGACTGGGAGGGAGACAATGGTGTTGAAAAGAAAAAAATTGACTTAAATCGGAGAAAGTCCCAAAAATTAAGGAAGTACATAAGGATAATTATTAATTACCATATTTATTGAAATCAGATATTTTTTTAAAAAAAATATGCTATATTTCTTGAAAAGGGTATTATATGTAATATTTTTAAAGCAATGGGAATATATGTATTTATGGTATGAAAGTATGTGTTTATAAGTAGTTATATAGATAAACAGATATTAAACAAAATAAGAACCAAAATAAATAGATTAAATACACGGTAGTTTCTTTTTGAATGAAAACCAAAAAATTTAGTTTTCCAACAAGTAGTGCTTATAAAATGTGCTCGTTCTTCACCAGTCAGTTACCTTAATATCAAATATATGGAAACACGAGCAGCAGCAGATCAAGAGATGAAAAAGAAGCTTATAACCATAAGGGTAATGACCCAGAGGGAATCTGATGTGTTCTTCAGAATCGGAAGAGATGTTGCTCTACAAACTTTGATCCTTGGTTACTGTGGAAGCCTAATTCTCAAACATGAACTACTTAGGTTTGTTTATGATGGAAAACAAAATTAATCCCACACAAACTGCTGATGATTTGGAGACGGAAGATAATGATTCCATTGATGTGTTCTCTGAAAAACTGGAGTTGATCATTCATATATGTATTAGCTACTTTTAGGTTGCTTATTCCTACTTGCTGTTTTAGTTTAAAACAATGAAATATGTCTTTGTATCTAATTGACCACCCTCTTTTTAATACTATTACTATTTACATTGCAAGGCTTTTGTGCAACACTTCGATATTACAAGGGATCATACCCCTGAATATGCCTACTACTTGTTATATCTATACAAAGAATTGGATTTGATACTTGTATGAAAAACTTGCCAACAAATAGCCAACCAATAATCTTTTGCACGGTTTTTGGTATATCAAAAAGTCAATATTACATCTCTGTATTATGAAAAAATGCGTTGCCGTTTTGTGCCCCTGTACAACTCTGACATTGGTCAATGTGGCATAAATCTCACTTCAGTACCAAAAACAGCATACACAGAATGCTCGGAGTACCGACCAAAGGAAATCAGTTGCAGCAGGCAGCAACATTTGCATTCTTCACTTTTGCTCATTTCTGTCTCTGAGGTGGCATGAACATTATGTCCAGACCTTCGTTTACACTCAAATCACCACTTATTGCTCAATGAACTGCTAAGCCCCTAAGATGGAGCTTATCGGAGAACTAAGAATCAACCCCTTTGCAAGCTACAAAAACCTGTCTCATTGTATCTTAAAGAGGGTCTTCAGTTTCATGACAAGTCTCCAATCCTCAACTGAGAGGTCTTTCTGTAAAAGGTTAAAGAGGCAGTAGTAAGCATAATAAGATACTTGCTCAAAAAGGAGAGCTTGTTGCTAAAGGGAACTTCACGCAAAACTCTACATACCCGGAAATTGGCCTTGAGTATGTCAATAGACCTCCTTGAAATTTTGCTGACAAGCTCATCTTCCATTTCAAAATGCCTACCAAACATCTTTTGTTGCTCCTCAGGGTTAGATCCAACTATCTGTAAACATGTGCAGGGAGTGAGACATCATGGTATATAAGCAAAGATCAAATCAACTGCTTAGAATCCTGAAATACGTTATTGTACAATGATGATACACAAAACAGATATTGGGAATCAAAGAGAAACTACTACACACTACTCTACATTCTACAAACAAGTTATAAAGAGAGAACATAGATCAAAATTCTAGCAAATCCATGACAAAATTTACAAAGTCTCAACCACTTCATACCTTAATGGCCACCCGTTGGCCTTTCTTTGCAGAGTCAACAGGCTTATGGTTGTTCTCAATTGATGCAATACGACCAATATCAATGAACTCCTTTTGAGGAATACATATAGGAGATCCAATCTGTTCAAATTTAGTTGAGCACAGTGAGGACCACAATATACATGAAATTTTTGAAGTCTATGAATGATTATAGACAAGAGAATTGACGAGTGCTACTATTTTTTCAACAGTAAAATCACAAACTGTAGGGTGCTACTATTGCAAGCATAAACATTGATAGTAGAAAGCATAATCAAGCTAAACCCTTCAACTTAAATCATGGCAACAAACAATATACTGAACTACGTGTGGAGAAAAGTAAACCAGAGAGAAGTACATAATGTTACACACACCAATAAAACTATGCAGGAATATCTTACTACAATTAACTAAAGAGACATGAGAGCAAGCAAACAGGACTTAAACTGGAGGTGTTCAATGCTCATCGAGCAAGAGGCCTAAGGAAGCATGACAGAATTAATAATGGACGAAAAATAGAAATAGGATGAGTACAATGAAATCTGCATCTGAACTTAAACATATTCCCTAAGGTCCAAATCTTGTAAATAAAACAAAATATACCTTGAGATGCAAATCATGGTATAAACGAAGAATGCTTAAAACCTTTTGAAAGCAGAGAACTCAATGATAATAATAACCAGTAGAAAAGCTAGATTCTAATCATAAATGCAAAAACTCAGATGGAACCTTGTTAGATAATCAAGATACCCAATTATAAGAAAGAATTATAGAGAGAACAGATACGTGCTAACACTGATTCTTCGAATATCACTACAGCATAGTTTCACCAAACAAATAGGAAATAGTCTACAGAGCTACTGATCCATGTACTAGCTGACATTATATGTTGCAGTCTGGGATCCTTCCCCGCCACTTCTTAACTAGGCCTTCCTCTAGGGGCAAAAGGCTGGTTACTTGGAAAAGGCAATATCTTTGAATAGGTGGTAGACTTGATCTTATCAATATTGTCATGGACAGTATTCCCACTTACTTCATGCCATTATTTCCTATGCCTGGTAAGGTAGTGAAGTAGCCAAGACGAAATCAGAAGAAATTATCTTTGGGAGGATAATATTGAAGGACACAAGTTTCACCTTGTTAAATGGTAATACGTCATTAGACCAAAGCCACGGGGGGGTTGCGTATCAGGGAGCACAACAAAAGCTTGTTGTTTACATGGCTTTGGAGATATGGAATGGAGGACAATAGCTTATGGAAGGAAGAGGTTGCAGCCAATCATGGTAAATTGAGTCGATCACTAAGCAAAGCAGAACTCCATATATAATTGGGTCATGGAAACATGTAAGTAGGCTATGGGAGGAATTTCATAAAGAAGTCTCATTCAACGCTGGAAATTTCCCTGAATGTACAATTCTGGAAGGATATAGAGAACTCCAATTTTAGAGAAGCCTATCCATCACTCTTCCTGATAGCATGAGATTGTGACTCTACAGTTGCAGAGAATAGAGAAGGCAATCAGTGGAGTGCCCTCTTCAGCCTGGGAACTTGAGAGCCTTTTGGACTTGATGTGTAATCTGGAAGGCTTCACATGAAGACTCGGGCTGCTGAAGCATTAAGCTGTGGTCCTAATGCAAAGGAAAACACAGTAGAACTGGGATAAAATTGCTAGATGCTCAGAATAAAATTTTAGACTTCTAGCCATAGAAACTAATTTGGAGGACAGAACTCCCACCAAAAGTGATATGCTTTAGATGGTTAGCTCTAAAAATGCATGTCTGAAACAGGACAACATCTGCAGGAGATGTTTCCAGTTAGTTAACAGATACTACTTATGTCAGGTAGCTGCAGACATGTAGCATATGTGTCTAGTTTATTTCAGCCTCAAATGGATGCTGTTTAGAGCTGGAGCCTTTAGAGAGCTGAAACAACAAAATGTTTTGATGTAGTTGTCAACTCTAAACCACTTGCTAAAGTTGTTTCTCCAGATTTTGTGATCTCCGTTACATTAGACTGGCCCTTAACATGGTTGTTCCCTTTATGGTGTTTGGCTAGCCCCCCGACCCTTTCATAGATCTTGTATAGGAGCTATCACATCTAATTTTGTATCCATGGCCTCTTCTTGATGCCAATCAATGAACAACTTACTTTATCAACCAAAAAAAATTATTGTCCATAAGTTTGCTTATGTCAAACCAGCTGTCTCAAACAAGGTTATACATAAAGAAATTACACATTTAACGAGAAATCAATGTGAGTAATCAAGACCCTTTCCCCAACCTAATGGAAGCATGAATTAGAGAAAATCTGCTAATATCAGCACAACCCGTTAAATATTGATTATCTATTCTTATTTGTATTGTTGATGTGCACAAAAGCTAGTTTTCCCGAATGAAATGCAGAGATTCTATTATCTTTAATTTTTTCCTTTTTATAATTAAGTTGGTGAATGAGATCAATGAATATGAGAAAGTAGACAAGAAAAGTTAATACCCTGACAATGCCCTCAAGAACATCAACTCCCAGAACAATTGGATCCTTCTTGTTGAAGACACAATTCGGTACGATCTTGAGCACACAGGGGAAGACTGCTTCTTCAGCAACTTCCTTCTTTTTTTCTTCCTTGATAGTGTCAATGTAAGCTTTAAACTGATCAAATAAGTGATATATAATATCAGCCATAAAAACCTTGACACCAAGTTCATCTGAAAGTTCCCGAGCTTCCTGTGTCACTTTAACATCAAAGGCCAAGATGGTTGCATACTCTTTCTTCTTCTCAAGCATAACACTAGCTTTCATGACATCCTTTTTATGCACGGGACCTATGCCAATCCCACTGACAGGTATGCTTACTTCTGGGGTCTTCAAAAATTCAAGCAAAGCTTCTAATGATCCAAGTGTAGATGCTTGAACATATACTCCCTCTCCACTTTTGTCGATCCTGCTCATCACTGACTTCATATCTTCCATAGCTGCTTCTTTGATGTCTTCCACATCATCATCAGGCCCCACAACATATAGACTAGTACCAGCAATTGCATGCTCAAAGCCCTGAAGAAGAATAGAAAGAACAAAAGGAGGGGAAAGGAAAACAACCACTAAATAAATAGCCATATAGTAAATAGTGAAAGCATCACACATCAGTAGAAGAAAATATCAATACACCCATGCAAGGGACTGAAAGGTTATGGCTCGCTAGTTGAACTTCCAAGTCAAATTTCACTGAAGTAACAAACTATACAAGAACAACTATTGGATTCTCACAACTATTCCAAGTCAAAATAGGATGGTATTTGTACAGCTATTCCAACAGAATTTTTCTAAAAGGTATCACAAAATATCCGACTTAGGAAATCAGAAATTCTGAACAGAATTGATATGCTCAGGGACACCATGAACAGAACAAAAAGAAAAGAGACTGTGCCAAATTAGAATAAACTTCCAATGCTCTAGCACAAATTTCACCATATTTTTTGAACATGAGACATCAAGTGCATTGGTTGGTTTCCTGACAAGAAAAAATAGAAAAAGGAAAGAGGTGTATGTGCAAAGAGATAGCTCCTCCACTTAATATTTTTCATGCAATTACGAAGCTTCCTCCAAATCTTTACGAAAAGTTATTTGACTTCCAACAGTAATCAGGACTCAAAAGTTATATCCAGTAGATGACACCCTGCTCTGCTTGATTGATCCTAGAAAAAACTAATGCTAATTTTCTTTTTAATTAAAAGGAAATTAGGAATTCAAATACAGCATCATCTGATTTTAACAACAAACTAATCTAAGACTGACCAAAAATGAGCTCACAGATTTACAAGTAGTTGATAATACCTGGGCGGTTATCTTTATACCCTGGGCAGCCTTGATTTTCTTATGATGCAAATATGTTCCCTGAAAGGATTTTGCCCAAACAAGAGAATGCACTTTCATCAGTATGCCATTAGATAAATCACATATCAGATAAATTCAAAGAAATAACATTACAATCACTTCATTCTTAAGATTTTTTTTATGCTCCATTGACCACAAGGTCCAAAAGTACAAAAATAATTAGGACATAACTGAACCTGCAGACTTGTGTCGCACATTCGGAAAATTAAACAAGTAATCTGCATATCTTGATTGTGGGAAAAGCCTATTTTAACAGGGGCAATTGGAATTTGAACACAAATCTGAAAGCCTCACAGCAAATTTCTGATCTTCTGTTTCTTTTGTTCAAAGAAAATTCAAAGTGGAGAAAACCAAGTGTGTTATCAGCAATCTAGGATTAATGTAGCACCTCAACAATTCCGTATCCATGAAAGCATCCACAAGCTTGAAATGATTTACATATATCTCAAAAGGCAGGGGTCCAAATAAACCAGGGTATAGGTACTGTTAAAAGACAGGGACCCAAAGAACAACTGACATCATAAACTCAACTTTCAATACATCCACATAACTCTTGAGCTAGAACCCCCACACACAAAGTAACCCTTTAATTTTTGTACGCCACATTTGGAGTTGAGGAAACTAATAACTCTAGCACAGCGTGTTACCTTGACAAGCCCAAACTAGATATTACCAGCATATGATCTACGTTAGAGTTCAAACAGAGCTACTGTTGTTGTAAAGAATACTTTTAAGTGGAGTAGGTTTCTTTGATAGATTTGATAGGACAACTGCTAATGTTTTTAGGCTTTTTGTTGGCTGTGGGTATCTGTAAATATGGCTTTTGCACTGCCTTAGTGCTTTCAATAGCATTGTTACCAGTTTCATAATAATAGGACTGAATACTAGCGACATATACAATTCAATGCTTTTAGCCCATCCATTAGTTTTCCCCACTCATCAAGCACCCTCCTCTTTTTACTACTCTTTACTTTTTATGATACATACTGGACAAATAACTCCTTATTGTTTTTATACTTGTAAAAGGATTTGAACTAACAACTGCTACTACTCAATCTCATGCAAGTTGGGGAAATTTAGAGAGTTGAACTGAGGTAAGAGAATATTTTCTTTTTTTCTGATAAGTAGGTTAGAGATGCTTCAATGCAAAACCAGTAACCCGGAGTGCCTAAAGGAACATGTAGTTACCTTTACTCGGAGTTCCTTCATGGGGTGAGGCGTTAGTAGAGCTCGGATGGAGGTAACAATCGGTCCCTACACATAAAACAATGCAGGAAATGAGGAAATTTATAATGTCAAGACAAATCACCACACTGGAGGATCTGAACATAGCAGCAAAGTAATGGCTCACTAAAGACAAGTAATGAACATAAAAAGGAGACTTCCATGCCTGCATGCCACAAACGACGATTTGATCTCCTTCATGAAGGACACCATTAACCAAAACCACGTCAATAGTCGTTCCATGCCCTTCAACAACCTTAACCTCCAACACCGTGCACTGCCAAAGAGTAACAACAGTTAATCATCCCATATTGAGAATCTCTAATTTAACTGATAATGATATCATGTAAATATCATACCTGCACTTCATTGCTGTAAGTAAGTCTTTCAATCATTGTCTTTTGTGTCCATTGAACAAGTAACAACAGCATGTCAGGAATACCTTCTCCGCTGTTAAAGATCCAGGGAATGAACATGTTCAGTTAAAATCAACAATGTCACGAAATGCTAGATGGACGCCCAAGGAAAAAAGAGAGGAATAACACACCAACACACCTAATAGCACTAGTTGGTACAATACTGAAGGTGTCCTTTCCCATTTCTTTATTTTTATAGTACAATTCTGTATTAATACCTTGTTCCTTGAACTGGGTAACAATCTGCGACAATTAAACAGAATTCAATTGAGATAAGGTCCACAAATTGAGGAATGGTCAACTCAAGGAGTTATAAAAACCTGAGTAAGCCTTGTATTAAATTCAAATTGAACATCTTTGGACTGTTGCTTCATCGCCTTCACAATGGGAGCATTCTTGCAAACTTTCCATCCATAAAGCCTATCCACCTGCATTGCAATAGTATCAAAAACAAATTAAACAACAGGAAATAAAAGAATACAACCAAAATAACACCATTGAAAAGTGCATCATAGATGATCTTCACCTTATTCAGAGCAACAATAAATTCTGTATTCCTCATCTTAAGAAGATTAAGTGACTCTATGGTCTGTGGTTCTAGCCCATGCATGATGTCAACAACCAAAATTGCAATATCACATAAGCCTGAACCTCGAGAACGCAGATTCGTGAAAGATTCATGTCCAGGAGTGTCGATGACCAACAAACCAGGGACCTTCAGCTTCGCATCAGCTTTGAGCTCCTTAGTTCTCTCACGTATATTCTCAGCAGGAAAGTAAGTTGCACCTATCTGCTGAGTAATCCCTCCAGCTTCACCTTCTTGAACATTGGTACCTCGTATGCAATCAAGTAGCTTGGTTTTACCAGTATCAACATGCCCCATAATACAGCAAATAGGAGACCGGAGATTGTCTTCATCCTGGTTAGGAGCACCAGGTTCTTCGGGACTGTCTTTCTGCTTATTTTGCTCTGCACCCCTAGCCTCAGGCTCACCCTTCCTACTTCGGTCATTCTTCAGTACACCTGGTACAGTTGCAGCAGTTTTTTGAATCGGAATCACCGACTTGGAAGCAACAGGCAGAATCGCTGCACCATGAACAGCTGAACTTACAACCTTAATCTCTTTCTTAGTTATAGGCTGCAGTTCTGAATCTACCTCCTCGTCTTCAAAAGCACTCTTACCAGGCAGTTTCAGATCAGCATCATCCCAACTTTTTGCATCCCATTCTTCATCATCTTCCTCTTCTTCTTCAACTTCATTTTCTTCAGCATCAGCTATTTCTGACTTTTCCTCTGTAATTGTCGAATCCACATCCTCAACTTTCTCAGTTTCCACACAATCAACCTCTGACACAATCTCCTGATGATGTTCTTTAACTTCTGATATTTCAATCGACTCTTCCTGCATTTTGCC